CACATGCAGTGGTCGGCGCAGAGTCAGCCCTGTATGTTATCTAGTCACTGTTGCAGCAGGGTAGCTGTACTAGGACTAGATGGATAGAGTTGTATAAATAGACTACCACGGCAACTCAGTAAAGAGAGTTCAGATTTGCCATCTCACAGACAGGGCTTCGGCCAACGCTGGTGTCTTGTATTATGTGTGCTTGCTCTGTTCTCCCTTCTTCTTCTAGCTCCAGCCATAGTGTGTGGGGACGGACAACGCTTGTTCGTGGTCGGCATGGCTAGTGGGTGCTAGCAACACTAACGAGTGCTCGGCAAGACTGATGAGTGGTTCACTCACTTGAGCCGGTGATCCTGTGGGCCAACATATACACCGTGGCAGCAAAAAGTTTTCACAAGACTCCTCGGTCTTTAGTACCGTATTATTTATCGCAAGGGTATTGAGAATGGGGCCGCTGATGCACTGTCACGAGTACCTTCGCCTATGTGCTCAGCCATATCTGTCATCCAGCCTCAATAGCTTAAGGCGGTCTTACTGTCTTATCAAGGTGATCTTCAAGCTCAAGACTCATTAGCCAGATTGACTAACCTGTTTGACGATGTGCCACATTATTCACTGCACGATGGCATCATTCGCTATGACGGGCGAGTCTGGATTGGGACATCAACTGATCTGCGTTCTAAACTGATTACTGCTATGCACAGTGGGGCAGTGGGGGGTCATTCCAGAGTTCCTGTTACTTATCGCCGGATGAAGCAGCACTTTGCCTGGACCGGTATGAAAGCTGATGTCCATGACTTTGTCACTGCTTGCCAGGTCTGCCAGCAGGCTAAATCTGATCGTTCCAAGTTGCCGGGGTTGCTGCAAACGTTGCCAGTTCCTGACCGTTTCATCGAGGGCTTGCCATTGTCCGAGGGATTCAACTGTATTCTGGTGGTAGTGGACTTGTTCTCGAAGTATGCTCATTTCATCGGCCTTCGTCATCCATTTACTGCTGCCAGTATAGCTAAGTTATTCTTCCAGACAGTATACAAGCTTCATGGTATGCCTTCAGCTCTCGTATCTGATCGCGACAAGATTTTCACTAGCACCCTTTGGAAAGAACTATTCAAACTTGCCAAGGTGGAACTGCATATGAGTACCGCTTATCACCCGTAGTCGGATGGGCAAACGGAGAGAGTCAATCAGTGCTTGGAAATGTTCTTGCGCTACTTTGTGCACGCCTGTCCGCGACAGTGGCACCAGTGGCTTGACCTCGCCGAATTCTGGTATAACACAAGTCTCCACTCCGCATTGGGTAGGTCTCCGTTCGAGGTGCTGTATGGGTACTCACCTACACAGTTTGGTCTGCAAGCCGCTGACGATGCTCCAGTTACAGACATCACCAGTTGGCTCAATGACAGGGAACTGATGTCAACTGTCATTCATCAGCACCTGCTGCGAGCTAAACAGCGCATGAAGAAGTATGTAGATGAGAAGCGTTCTGAGCGGCAGTTCAAGGTTGATGATTGGGTATTTCTCAAGCTCCAACCCTATGTCCAGTCCTCTCTTGCTGCCTGTAGTAATCAGAAGTTTGCATTCAAGTGTTTTGGTCCCTACAGAGTCGTTGGCGGCATTGGATCGGTTGCTTACATGCTTGAGCTCCCGCCTTCATCCTCAGTCCACCCTGTGTTCCATGTTTCGCAGCTCAAAAAGGCGGTGGGTGCTCGCCACACGGTTACTCCTACTCTACCTCCATCTTTGGTACTCTGGAGTGTGCCTGCTCATATCTTGCAACGGCGTCAGGTCACCAAGGGTAAGCGCCTTGTCCAACAGGGTCTCATTCAGTGGTCTAACTTACCTGCTTATTTGGCAACTTGGGAAGATTTGGAGTACTTGCACCAACAGTTCCCTCATGCCGGTATTTGGCAACAACCAGGCGCGCAAGGGAGGGGGAATGTCAGCGACTGCTGCTGATGATGAAGATGAACCCGCACCAAGCACCACTGCAACTTCGCCTGAGGCTGAACCGGCAGATGGGCTATTGCCAAATGGACTACAGGAGAATGCGCGTGCTAGGAGGCCCATGAAGCAGAACCCGCGCTACTTCGGCCCGGCGTGGCAGAGCAAGTGAAGAAGACGGTAGCATAGCCGAGTTGAGTTCTATATGTATTGACCAGCTTCTTGCTGAAGGGGTTATGAAAGAACCTTGTAACAAACTTGTTCCCTACTAAGAACTCATCAGTTCCTCGCCTATTGCTGTTCTTCCTGCCTTGCTCCTAATTCGTCCGCTTCCTAGCCCCTCTGCTGCTAACACGGCAAGGGTCCCGGTGCATCAGCGCCTCGGCCCACGACGTAGGGTGTCGGTGCCTAGCGTGTCTCGGCAGCCCCGTCGAGGGCCCGACGTCGGCGCCGATGTTTTCCAGACTGTCGAGAGTCGTCGCCACCGGCGCGGTCCGGGGAAGGTGGCACCCAAATGCCACCGCCCCATCCCGCTGGAGCTTATGGGTCTCTGCTTCAACTACCTCGCGCACGACCACATTGCCGCTCAATGTCGCTCTCCGTCCCGCTGCTTCCGCTGCCGCGGTACCAGCCATCGGGCCAGAGCGTGCACGCACGGCCGTTCACCGGTGTGCAAGTGAGTGCAGTCGTTGGCGTGTGAGCCTTCGTCCTTGCTGGCACGTTGACCTAGCCGGAGTGCCTCTAAGGGATGTCGCCCTGCTGGTTCGAGGCGTCCTAGCTCGTCGCCAGAATGTCACGCCGTGCAAGGCCAGACGCCGACAATGTCTTCGCCTTGTGTGAAGCGGCCGACCGCATCGTCATCGTCGCCGCAGCAGCACCACAACAGCAGCCTGCTGGTATCCCCACCTTTGGGTGACGTTAATAACCGGCCCAAGGTCGAGGTCTTCGTCGTCCAGAGGAACGTGGACAGCTGCTTCTGGTGCGGACCTCCGCCTTGTTCTTGTCGCACTTGTTGGCGGAAACCAGCCAACCGCCATACCGGAGGAGTTCCTGGCGCACCTTTCCTCAAAGTTCCATGTGTCTGTGGGAGTGGCCAAGGCCTGTGCTTGGCTCGGAGGCCCCGTTGAGCAGGACGACCACTCTTGTGTTGATATGCAGGGAGGCGAAATGCAGATACAAACGGTTTAGCTTTGGGACTTCGATCCAATGCTGGTTGAGGTGGAGGCAGGTCTCACGAGCCAGGCCGTGTTGGAGGTGGCCCTGGCTGTGGACCTGTGACTTTCAGGCCCGAACGAGTGTGGTTTGGGCCAAACCTCACCAAGGCCATCACTCCTAGAGACAGAGCAGGCTGGGGGATCCCCACCCTCGGTCCAGGTCGACTCCCCCAACAACCGGGAAGATGCAGACAGAGGTGGTTCAGCCATGTCGACTGTTGATGGCGGAGTGCCTCACGCACCGGCCACGATGTCGATTCAGGAGAGTTTGGAGGAGCGGCTCTGCCTTCCTTTGCAGACGCCCCTCATCCGCAGGCCACCGAGGTTGCGCAGGCCTCGAACGCCGGCCCCGTTACGTCGCTGCGGCGCAGTGACCGCATTGCTATCAAGCCGCGCGAGGCAGACTCCACCAAGCAGGCTCAGTGTGTTCTCGTGCAGAAACTGGGAATGGTGGCACCATCGCCCAATGTCGACTCCGAGATGGTGCACAAGTACAAGGCTACCTTCAGGGCGCCGCTGTCAGACTCCACTCAGGAGGCGCTGCAACTTCTTTTTGGTGGAGAGTTCGACCCAATGGCTATGAACTTGGATATGGTCGGGTTGGACGAGGTGGCCAACTAGCCCCTTCGCCACCAACACCACTGTCACTCAGTAGTCATGTTTATTGTGTAATTACAACCACGTGCGAGTTTGGTGAGGGTGAAAGGTGTGGGTTTGGGTAATCTTTGGATTACCGTAACTTGAGACTGACTGTGACAAAACCCCTTTATTCTGTTTAATGAAAAACGTGGTAAAGCATGATCTCGAAAAAAAAGAACTTGGGACCTTGATTACTTGTGTTATAGTAGAAGAAAAACTCTTCCCACGACGAGTAAATATAGATAGATTTTTGCTCTTGTCTGCTCGATACATTTACATCTATATATGTGGTCCGCGGGCAAACAGCTATAGCATTCAGAATTTCAGATGCATTGCATACACTCCTACGAGCCAAACGAATTGTTAATTTGAAAGATTTTCCACTTGGATCTTCAAGGTAGGGATGTGTACGTGGGTTATGTGCATAAGCAGGATAAATCTATGATCGCAGTAAAGAATTCAAACAAGCAAGTTTCGCTACCAAAATCACTATATAAGGTATATATGCGCAGATCTCTGAAATTGACCGTGCGACCACAAGTTCAGGCATCACTGTTCATTGTACAGCAAATAGGAACTTCAATTCTTTCATTAAGAAAATCTGGACAGTACTGTGCTAAAGTAAAAACCTTTGTGTAGAGAATAGCCCATAATAGTCTACCAATGAAGAAGCTAATTAGCAAAATGGTGGACTCGATATTGGTACTCGTTCTCCCATGTGTTTCAGATCTGCTGAAAGAGGCACCTGTTTTCTAAATGTAAATTCGCAAAAGGAAGCATGGACTATGGAGGGCTAGCACTAACATTGGAAACTGAAAGTAACAGTCTAAACTTACAAACACCAAAGTGTTACTCAAGCTCAGTACAAGGTAACATTGAAATATTCGGTGCTGGTCTATGGTATGCTCCGGTTTGCACCTTGCAATACTGGGCTACTCATGGATTTCAGCTGTGGTGTAGCTGTGTTTGTAACATTCCATTCCTCTTAATGAAACACTTGCTCTCCTGCGTATGTTCGCGAAAAAAGGGGTGGCTTAAAGTCATGCAAGTTAGAACAACCAAAGCACTATGGAGGATCTGATCTCTGAGGGTAATGATGCAAACGCAGAGCAAATTACAATCAAGACATACAGGTTTCTGGCTAAAATGCTAGTGAGAGCACTGAATTTATACAGACACCGGTATGTAACAAGTATGTAGTAGTATTGAAAATGAAACCTATAACCCAAACCCCATAACCATTGGTGCCAAGCGGAGCAGCGGCTCGAGCGTGTCGGGCGCGAACTTGCGCGCGAACACGTAGCAGACGCCGCTCGCTCCGTCATTGTAGGCGGTGCAGTTGTTTTCGCCGCCTGGGCCGAAGCCGCCGCCGGCGGTGCTCGCTCTGATCTCCCTGATCAGCGCCTCCGTGGCGTCCCCTGCCCCGTGCGTGCGCGGGTGAGAGCCGCCTCCCCTCCAGTCCGCGTACGTGAGCGTCCGGTTGGCGTTGCGCGTCCACCCGAGCACGCTCAGCAGCGTCGGCAGGTAGTGCTCTTCCGCGAAGCAGTACCTGTTGCGCGCGCAGTACTCGCGGAACGCTGGGAAGTAGGTGTCGTCGGAAACGAGCTCGACCGCGAGCGCCCGGTCCATCTCGAACCACTGCGCGCCCTTGCGCCACTGCGCGAGCGTGATGTTGCCGCCGGCGGCGCGCTGGCCGAAGAAAGGGTCGTACCGCACCTCGCTGTCGTGGTTGACGAAGCTGTCCACGAAGCTGGTGTTGGAGCCGGTGAGCAGCGCGTACACGGTGGTGAAGTTGTAGAGGGGGATGCACGACTCCGAGAGCAGCGCGAACCGCTGGTTGCCGAGGTCCAGCAGAGCGTTCGCCACCAGCCGGCGCGCGGCGTCCACCAGGGTCACGTCTCCCCAGGACGTATTCTGCAGTGGCCAAATTCTTTACTTTGTCAGCGGCAGTGCTGCAACCTTTTACATACGTTTCTAGTATCTATATGTGATTATTACATTTTACATACCTGGCTTCGGATCATACGATCGTAGAACACGGAGTCCTCCGGCGGCGAGCCGGTGTAGGACGGATCCGCGTGCACGTAGATGGAGTAGAGGCCGTCGTGCCCCTGGAAGAACTTCTCCCACAATGGCCGCAGCGGCAGGTCACCTTGCCAGGAACAAGAAGGCAACCTTTGGCACGCGGTGGTACGGCGTGGCGCGGACCTTGGGCGACATGGACGCCCACCAGAGCAGCTCCTCGTCGGTCATGTTGTTGCTCTTGACACTGCTAAGAGAGCCAATCATCAGTTCCACCTTAGGGCTTTGTACTGATGTCGTTGAAGGTGTAGGTGGAGGTGGCGATGGAGGAGGCGGAGGTTGTAGGGCCGGTGGTGGTGGTGACGATGGCACAGGCGGCGGCAACAATGGAGGTGGTGATGGTGACCACATCCTCGCAGAGGGCAATGGCGGCACGAAAGGGAGGTAGAAATTTGGGAACTTGGCGTTGCAGGTGATGCCCACGACAAAACCCAAGGAGAAGCAGAGAAGCATAGGCACCACCACGCCGAGGAGATTCCTTCCTACTACCGGCATGCTTGTGTCGTTCATGGTTTAGCCGCAGCCCGCAGGCTAGCCGCATGTGTGATCCAGAGAGATGCAGCAATGCCAGTCTATAAGGGTGACGTTGAATACACGTATTGGCGCGTATACACAGCTCCGATCCGATCGATCCACTTTGCTTCCTCTGCAAATTAACAGGTGTCGCTTGTGGTTGCAAAAGTTTGCGGTGTTGACTTCTAATTTGTTTCAACATTTAGGCCCCGTTCATTAGATTCATTATCTGATAATAGTTAGTTAGCTAATACCTCGTTATCTGATGTGGTCTAGCTAGTTGAATAGTTGTTTTCTAAAGGTCTAGCTAACAATTAGCTAGTCTATTATCTATGCCTGATTGGATCCAAAAGAGATAATTATTACTCCATCCGTTTTAAATTATAAGTCGCTTTGATTTTTTTTGTACGTCCATTTTGTTATGTATCTGGACATATATTATATCTAAATACATAACAAGATAGATATAAAAAAATCAAAGTGTCTTACGTACAATTTGGAATGGAGGGAGTAGCAGATAACATCCAAACAGGGCCTTAATCATTGGACATATGTGGGAAGCTAATTTATCAGTCGCACATTTATCATTTATTTTCGTTACTATTTACTCCCCAGGGAATATGTAAACTTCGAAATTAGATCTTATGACAAATATCGGCCTGCTCGAGTGGGGATAGATGAGAAATTAAACAAATGCAGCTTGCCCTTATGGAGCACAAGGGGCACTTGCAAACCAAATTAAACTGTACGTGCATACACTCAAGAAATGCCAATACAGAACGATGCAATTGTTGTGTTTCCATCTTTTCTCGATCTGTCTAGCTTCTCTCTCTTTCTCTCTTCTCTATCCCTACCTCTTCTCTATCTTTGCTTCTAACCCTCTATCTCTTCTCTACTACTACTCAGTACAAAAGCTTATTAGGCGTCATTTTTGGTTGACAAATGCATAGTAACAAAACTAAGGGCCTCTTTGATACAAGAGCTAATTGCTAGCCGAATTAAAATTAGCTAAAATTAGTCATAGTACATTCAAACAGGAGAGCTAATAGATGGGCTAATTGTTTAGTCAAGCTTTCACTAGTTGTTAGCCAACTAAGGGTATGTTTGAATGAGTTAGGTCTAGTTACTAGTTGGACTAAGAATTAACTTAAATTAGCTGAGTTTGACTAGCTAGTTGGCTAACAATTAATTAGAGACTTGACTAAAAATTAGTCTATCTATTAGCCTTCTTGTTTGGATACACTATAGCTAATTTTAGCTAAACTTTAGGTAGCTAGTAATTAGCTCTTGCCAAACAGGTCCTAACTAGCCAACCTTAATTAATTTGAGCTAATTTTTAGCTCAACTTATAATTAGCCCTGACTCATCAAACAGACCCTAAATAGACGAATGCAATAGTTTTATATTCATTTTTTTGGGGTATTGTGTGGTCACAGATGAAACATTGTGAGATCAACGCAGAACATCGTATAGAGTTAGATCTCGTTCTTAGTAAAGAAACATAGGAACGACAGAACTTACTCTAGAGCATTCTCTTAGCATGTATTTCTCAACTGTTAAAATATGTGCAATAAGATGACAAATATACATAGGAGCACAAGCCCGGAGATTCAAACCCTATGCTTCCTTAGCCTGCTCCTCATTCTAGAGCCAAAGTTGACTACACAATCTATTGCCGTAGTCGGATCACCCTAAACGCAGCATGTTGAAACAGTGACCTGTAAGAAGTAAGAAGTAAGCAAATATTAGCACTTTTGACCTAACTCAAATTAAGGCCAAAATTTTCACGTGTACCAACACATGATTGCTATGGGAAAATATGATTTATTTTAAATAATAATATGATCTAAGTAAATCCTAATAGTAGTTTGGGTGTGGCTGCATGCACTACTGGAAATTTGAATAGTTCTGTGGGTGTTACATTTTTCTGTGTGTGTTTTTCTATACACACAGAAAAATTCGTAATTTTTCTATACGTTTCAAAAATCCCGACAGAAATATTCGAAAACGCACAGAAAAATTGCTTTATTTTTCTGTGCGTGTCAATACACACAAAAAAATTGACATTATTCTGTCGGTCTTTTTAAAACTCACAGAAAAACTACGTACACGCACAGAAAAACTACATACACGAAAAAAACCTAAACCTACCTCCAGACGGGGCCGCCCATCCTTATCCCAAACGCGCCGCCCGCACCCGCTCGCACTCCCGTCGCTCCTAGGTCTCGCAGCGGCCACCCCCTCCTCTCTTCCACCGTCGCGGCGGCCATCCCCCTTCTCTCTTCCACCGTCGCGGCGGCCACCCCTCCTCCACCGGTGAGGTCACCACCCCCTCCTCCACTACACCTCCTCCCCTCCCTTCCCTTGGAAGACGGCGGTGGCTGCCCGTGCAAGGCCGGATGGCGGCGCCTCCGCCCCTAGATCTGCCTCCTGCCGCACCAAGGAGCTTCGCCGCCCGCCGCCCCCAGATCTGCCTCCCCCTCCTCTCTTCCAACGTCGTGGCGGCCACTGCCGCCCCCAGATCTTGCGCGGGAGATCTTGTCGTCCTCGGGCCTGGGCTAGGGTTACCGCCCCCATTTCGCGCCTCTCCTTCCTCCTCTGGTTTGGTGCGCTCTCTCCTCTTCCTCCCCATCGAGCTCGCTTTACCTATACGGTCAACCTCCACCGGCGGATTCGTGTTGGTCCTCCAGTGCTCCGACAGTATATCTCACCTGCCCCCATCTCCTGCCCCTCTCTGTGCGGTGATTTATGTTGAATCGTTTGTGGATTTTATTTGTCGTCCACTGATATTAGGGTTCATGTTCTTAGATACTTAGATCTGGGCGATATTTTTGTTGATCTACATGTTTACATTTGCTTTTGTCTTGTTCCGCCCTCAAATCTGTGTGATGTGCACCTCTTATTTGTTGTACACATGTGTTGTCGCCTAGACTTTGCACATGATGATGCCTAGTCCGATTTACAAACTGAGCAAAGTGCCTTGGTCGATGATGTTTACTTAACCCTAAGTATTTGGAGGAGCACCCTATGGTGTGGCGGCCAGCGTCTTGCTTAAGTCCATAGCTCGATTCTAGTGAGGGTTCTTTGTCTTTGAAGCATCTAGAATTTATGACACGATGTTCAATCTCTTGATATGACTGTGATGTTCAAACTCTTGATATCTATTTGGCCAATGATGCAACATGAAAAATAAACTCTGAGGTGGTTGCAATTTGTTTTTTGTGCATTCTGTATGATTCTCATATTTGTCGACAAACCATGGGACATGATCTTAGTTTTTTCTTATCTGTTTTTTTTGCCTTAGCAGACCACCTATGATTGAGTATATGGAAATTGTACCAACATATCGTTAAGCTGAGGCCTCACTTACTTTGCCAATGATGATATCATATTAAGCATACCAAGAACTGATGACCTTGAGCTTGTGTTGAGGTACTGGAACTTTGTTTCTTACTCTATTTGTTTCTTATGCTCCAAGCTCAAGGTCAACCGAGGAGCAAGCGATATCTGAGGCCAATGTTCCAACCTTGAGCTTGTGTTGAGGTCTTTGGAACTTTGAGTAATGCATACCTTCTTGATTTTGAATTGGCTGACATTGTTCCAACCTTTTGAGTCCGAGATTGGCACTTGATTTCTCAACTTTTGATGATTTAACTAGTAAAATCAGTAGTAAGAACCATTGCTTGCACTTGATAAATATGAGCTTATTTTATTGCCATATAACAATCTGATTTGAATATGTATGATTCACTTGCAAGGTGGTTAGCAATGTCAAACGGCCTATTTAGAAACTTATTTTATTCACTTGCAAGAGTATGTTAGATTGACAATACTACTATGCTTATGTGTCTACATGCCTATCCTGCTGAAATCCCTTATTTTTTAGCAATAAATTGGATGTTTTTTTGTGAAATCGCTAATTGGCGTAGCACCTCAAAGTGTGATTCTCTCAACATTTGACTTCAATAGGATGCTCTCTGATTTGTATCATAGCTGTCTTTAGTGTTTTTCTTAGTGTATGATAGATGTGCTAATACAAGCATTGCTGATATAAACCATGCAATAGAAGGTGGTGAATCGGGTGATGATGAGGTTGGTATAAGTGATGAATCATGACTGAGATATCATTTCCTCCATGTTTTAGTTTTCTCTCTCATTTGTCTAGATTGTTTTATTGTGATACCGGTATAAAGAATTGAGTGAGCAGCCAAATTATAAGTCATTTTTTTGTATTACTGAAGATAACCTAGGTAATCATCTATTGTGAACCAAATTTCTTATGTATACGATTATACCTTTTTTTCCTGTGTTTATTAATGTATATACTACTATTGGTTATTTGGCTTGATGTTAATCCTTATTTTTTTTTGTATGCCATTGTTGATAAAAAAAATAGACATACCCTGTTATGCTTAAGGAAGATGAAAGTGACATGTAAGATTGTCCTGCACCTTAGCATACACTTCCCATGAATTATCTTGATCTGCTGGCTTTGCAGCAGCTCCAACTCCACTACCCCAACCTCCCTAGTCACCAGAATCATTCGCAGCACTGGCATTTTGTTCCCTTCTTCCAAGTCAGTATTTTAATGCTACTTCCATTATTCTCTTTGCTGTGACATACCTTTTGTGCTATGGCTAGTGATCTAGTAATTAAATCACTTACTATTTGAGTTGTACATGATCTCTGAGTGTTTATACTCTAAATCTTGTTATGAAAAAAACTTGCTTTGCTTGAGAAATATTGTTTCTGACACTTGTTTATGTTATCTCTGAATTGCAGGTTCAGGTTCCAGTTACCTTTATGCCCTTCTTGATCATGAATGGAAAGAGGGAATGAGTCAGGAAGAGGCAGAGGTATGTCGCCAAGTTCCTTCTTACTTAGATCCTGGAATTGAGATACTCTTTAGTGTAGTAGTATGACTGAAGGTTATTATAATTGTGTAAAGCGAATAGAGTACAACTAGCCTTAATGTTCCTAATATGTTTCTATTACTG